CCTAAAGAATCTACTCCCAAACTACTAGATCTAATATCTGAATTCAGCAAAGTTGCAGAATACAAAATTAATATACAGTAATCTGTTGCATTCCTATACACTAATGATGAACTAGCAGAAAGAGAACTCAGAAAAACAATTCCATTCACAATTGCATCAAAAAGAATAAAATACCTAGGAATTAACCTAATGAAGGAAGTGAAAGACCGATACTGTGAAAACTACAAGACACTCGTGAGAGAAATTAAAGAAGATCAATAAAGGGAAATACGTCCAGTGCTCATGGATAGGAAGAATTAATATTATCAAAATAATCATCCTGCCTAAAGCAATCTACAGATTCAATGCAATTCCTATCAAAATACCAACAGCATTCTTTAACAAACTCAAGCCAACAGTTCCAAAATTCATATGGAACCACAAAAGGCCTCAAATAGCTAAAGCAATCCTAAGAAGGAAGAATAAAGCAGAGGGAATCTTGCTTCCCAACTTCAAGCTCTACTACAAAGCCACAGTAATCAAGACAATTTTATACTGGCACAAGAACAGACCCATAGACTAGTGGAACAGAATAGAGAGTCCAGATATTAATCCAAGCATATATGGTCAATTAATATACAATAAAGGAGCCATCAATATATAATGGGGAAATAACAGCCTCTTCAACAGCTCGTGTTGGCAAAACTGGACAGCTACATGCAAGAAAATGAAACTAGATTACTGCCTAACTCCATACACAAAAGTAAACTCGAAATGGATCAAAGATCTGAATGTAAGTCATGAAGCCATAAAACTCTTAGAAGAAAACATAGGCAAGACTCTTGAACATAAACATGAGCAACTTCTTCAGGAACATATCTCCCCGGGCAAGGGAAAAAAAAGCAAAAATGAACAAGTGGGACTATATCAAGCTGAAAAGCTTCTGTACAGCAAAGGACAACATCAGCAGAACAAAAAGGCATCCTACAGTATGGGAGAATATATTCATTAATCACATATCCGATAAGGGGTTCACATCCAAAATATATAAAGAGCTCACATGTCTTACCAAACAAAAAGTAAATAATCCAATTAGAAAATGGGCGGAGGATCTAAACAGACAGTTCTCCAAAGGAGAAATTCAGATGGTCAACAGGCACATGGAAAGATCCTCCACATCACTAATTATCAGAGAAATGCAAATTAAAATCACAATGAGATATCACCTCACACCAGTTAGGATGGCCAACATCCAAAAGACAAACAACAACAAATGCTGGTGAGGATGTGGAGAAGGGGAAATGCTCCTACACTGCTGGTGGGAATGTAAACTAGTTCAACCATTGTGGAAAGAAGTATGGTGGTTTCTCAAAAAACTAAAAATAGAAATACCATTTGACCCGGGAATTCCACTCCTTGGAATTTACCATAAGAATGCAGGAGCCCAATTTCAAAAAAGACATAGGCACCCCTATATTTATCGCAGCACTATTTACAATAGCCAAGATACGGTAGCAACCTAAGTGTCCATCAGTAGATGAATGGATAAAGAAGATGTGGTACCTATACACAATGGAATATTATTCAGCCATAAGAAGAAAACAAATCCTACCATTTGCAACAACATGGATGGAGCTAGAGGGTATTATGCTCAGTGAAATAAGCCAGGTTGAGAAAAACAAGAACCAAATGATTTCACTCATCTGTGGAGCATAACATCAAAGCAAAAACTGAAGGAACAAAACAGCAGCAGACTCACAGACTCCAAGAATGGACTAACAGTTGCCAAAGGGAAAGAGACTGGGGAGGGTGGGTGAGCAGGCAGGGAAGGGGAATAAGGGGTATTACAATTAGCACACATAATGTAGGAGTGGGCACAGGGAAGGCAGTACAGCACAGAGAAGACACGTAGTGACTCTACAGCATCTTACTTACTGATGGACAGTGACTATAATGGGGTATGTGGTGGGAACTTGATAATTGGGGGAATCTAGTAACTACAGTGTTGCTCATGTAATTGTGTATTAGTGATACCAAAATAAAAAATAATAATAATTTTTAAAAAATGGAAATAAATCCTGTGTTCATGGATAGGAAGAATTAATGTTGTCAAAATGGCCATCTTGCCTAAAGCAATATACAGATTCAAGACAATCCCTATCAAAATACCAATAGCATTCTTCAATCAACTAGAGCCAAAAGTTCTAAAATTCATATGGAACCACAAAAGACCCCAAATAGCCAAAGCAATCCTGAGAAGGAAGAATAAAGCAGGAGGGATTACACTCCCCAACTTCAAGCTCTACTAAAGTAATTAAGACAATTTGGTACTGGCACAAGAACAGACCCATAGACTAATGGAACAGAATAGACAGTCCAGATATAAACCCAAGCATACATGGTCGATTCATATACAATAAAGGAGCCTTGGATATACAATGGGGAAATGACGGCCTCTTCAACAACTAGTGTTGGCAAAACTGGATAGCGACATGCAAGAAAATGAAACTGGATTACACACAAAAGTAAACTCAAAATGAATCAAAGACCTGAATGTAAATCATGAAGCCATAAAAATCTTACAAGAAAACATAGGCAAAAATCTCTTGAATATAAACATGAGCAACTTTTTCTTGATTGCATCTCCTTGGGCAAGGGAAACAAAAGCAAAAATGAACAAATGGGACTATATCAAGCTAAAAAGCTTCTGTACAGCAAAGGACACCATCAGCAGAACAAAAAGGGATCCTACAGTATGGGAGAATATATTTGTAAATGACTTATCCAATAAAGGGTTAACATCTAAGATATATGAAGAACTCACATGCCTCAACACCCAAAAAGCAAACAACCCGATTAAAAAATGGGTGGAATATGAACAGACAATTCTCCAAGGAAGAAATTCAGATGGCCAAGAAGCACATGGAAAGATGCTCCACATCGCTAATTATCAGAGAAATGCAAATTAAAACCACAATGAGATATCACCTCACACAAGTTTGGATGGCCAACATAGAAAAGACTAGGAACAACAAATGCTGGTGAGGATGAGGAGAAAGGGAAACCCTCCTACACTGCTGGTGGGAATGTAAACTAGTTCAACCATTATGGAAAGCAATATGGAGGTTCTGCAAAAAACTAAAAATAGAAATACCATTTGACCCAGGAATTCCACTCCTAGGAATATACCCAAAGAAAACAACTTCTCAGATTCAGATAGACATATGCACCCCTATGTTTATCGCAGCACTATTTACAATAGCCAAGATACGGAAGCAACCAAAGTGTCCATCAGTAGATGAATGGATAAAGAAGAGGCGGTACATATATACAATGAAATACTATTCATCCATAAAAAAGAAACAAATCCTACCATTTGCAACAACATGGATGGAGCTACAGGGTATTATGCTCAGTGAACTAAGCCAGGCAGAGAAAGACAAGTACCAATTATTTCACTCATCTGTGGGGTATAAGAACAAAGCAAAAACTGAAGGAACAAAACAGCAGCAGACTCACAGAACTCAAGAATCAACTAACAATTATCAAAGGGATAATTGGAGGGTGAGTGGGAAGGGAGGGATAAGAGGATTAAGGGGCATTATGATTAGCACACATAATAGAGAGGGTGCACAGGGAAGGAAGTACAGCACAGAGAAGACAAGTAGTGACTCTATAGCATCCTATTATGCTAATGGACAGTGACTGTAATGGGGTATATGTTGGGGACTTGATAATAGGGGGGATGTAGTAACCACAATATTGCTCATGTGAAATCTAAGCATAAGATTGTATATCAATGACACTGTAATAAAAAAAAAAGGAACTAGTGGTTTCCAAAGGGGATGGGTTGGGGAAGACAGTGGGAGGACAGGTGAAGTGGGAGAAGGGGACTAAGGGGCACTACAATTTGCAATCACAATATACATAGGTAATGGGGATGGTAGTACAGCATGTAGAATATAATTAATGACTCTATAACACCTTACTACATTATAGACAGTGACCGCACTGGAGGAGGTCTGGTCTTGATAATATGGGTGAAAGTTGAACCACTGTGTTATGTATTTGAAACCATTATAAGATTGTATATCAATGATACTTTAATAAATAAAGAATAAATTTTAAAAAATGACCCTGGAGAAAGCATACCAGTCTTTGAAAAGCATTAGAGATTAATGGAACAGACACATTCCTGCCTTCAAGAAGCTTCCCATCTAGTGGAAGAGACTTCAAACATGCAAATAAATATAAACACATGACTGAGAAATGCTACAAAGGAAAAGTAGAGGTTGTTATAAAAGCATGTAAAAGAGGAATCAACATGGTTGGTGGGGATGATGGTGTCAAAGCTAGCTTCTGTAAGGAAGGAGAATACAACTAGGTAAGGAAAAGGAGAGATCATAAGGCAAAGCGAGTGAGCAGTATATGCCAAAATTCTAAGTCAGGAAGGAGAACAGCACATATGAGGAACTAAAGAAGATCATTTGGGCTTCAGTATAAAGCCAGTGAACAACTAGTGTGAGTTGAGACTGAAGAATACAGGACTGTCTAAGTTTAGTTCAAGAATTTGGCCATTACTCTAATGGAACTGACTTCCATCTTCAATGGAGGGATGCTGAGACTTTAAGCAAAGGTAGTAAAATAATCAGATTTGCCCTTTAAAAAGATCATTCTATCCTCAGTATGAAGAACTGATTGGGAGGAGAGCAAGAATCAATGTCAAGAAACCAGTAAATAGGCTATTTGAAGTAATCCACAAAGAGGCAACAGGGGTGCAGTAAAGAAAGAGATAAGCGGTAGATTTAAAAGGTATTCAAGAGACCAAATCAACAGGATTTGGTTATACCTGTGGATGACACAACTCTTGTAATCTGTCCTTAGAAATTCTAGGACATAAAATGCTAAACTACTTTATTATTAGTAATCAAACACAGAAAAATGTGGAAAAGAGAAGAATCAGCTTCCTGCTTAGTTTCCTGGAAGTGTTTCCTGGTGGAGCTGGTGGGGGCCTCACTCACTTGTAGAGCAAGCTGGGGGCCTTCACAGTACACCGGAAACCTTGCTGGGTCTGCACCACCTCGTAGGCATCACAGGGCTCTTCTGCACACTCCATGAAACCTGCATAGAAACCATAACATCTCACTCAGAGCTGCTGCTCTATGGACAAGTCTTTTCCCCAGCTGCCAATGACTCTTAAGGTTTACAAAAGGAAAATGCACAAAGAACAGCCCAACAGTTTACATGGCAGAACATTGCTCTGACATTCCTCTGGTCTGTTCTTAGAAGAAAAATAAGTAAAACACATCTATTTAAATCTTCTGGGCTTGGAACCTTGGGACAGTAGCACATTCATATCACTGTGTAACTGTTTTCTTCCAGAAAGCTAAGACAGAGTAAAAAAAAATTTTACCAAAAAAAAACATGTTTTATTAATGGAGATGTCATTCACATAACATAAAATTCATCCTTTTAAGTTATACACCTCAGTGGCTTTTAATATTAAGACACAAAATTATATAAATGAATGAGCTAGGAGTGATACAGGGAGAACTTACTCCATACAGCCAAGACAAAGAGAAAGGAGAAGGCTGAAATAAAGGAACTCAAGGCTGAACGGAAACAATGGAGAAGGCTAACGCCTAAAGCTTACAGCCTCATGGAAAAGCTTATAAACCAAAAGGAAAAGGAAACAGAGAACCTGAAAGGCCCTATTTATGCATTAAACCCATGCCCAAGTTAATTAGCCTGGAAATATTTATAATCCATTTAGTTTATTTCTTAAAAGTGTCTCTACATAATAATAATGTTGTTAGTGTGTGTTTGGAACTGCCTGTATATAACTGAAAAGAAGAGAAAAATAACACAACAATAATTAACAGCTAAGATTACTGGGCACTGGAAGAAATACTTTACATATGTTTATTTATTTCAATAATTTATATATATATTACTTTATATATTTATATATTTATATATACATAACTTTACACATAAAGGAACTAAATTTTGTTCCAGAATATTAATGGTTAATATTAATAGTTAACCAAACTGCCCCTTACTACATTTAAACCTTTGTACAAAGATGAAACATAACTTGATTTATAAATTCCAACTGAGAATGCATCAAACTTAAATTCATTAGTCCCCTTAGACGTCAACATAAATGGTGCTAAGAGAGGCCAAACATCACAAATTTCAGTGCTCATACAGAAACACATTGAAACAAAAGCAAAGAATTGCTTCTACAATACAGAGAACATTTTATTTCTAATCTGACCAAAGAGCAACTAGAATTACCTTGATAGAAGTCTTCATCATCTTCTTCATGTTGGTAAGTCTGTTCTTGGATGGGATTCTTCCTGTAAATTCGTCCACCAATTCTTATGAGCTGTGGGCGCATAACTTCCATGATACTTTCTCCAAATATTCCAATGTGATCCTGAAAAATAAATCATCGCCTTACCTTTTGTTTTAATCAGAAATAAAAACCCTACCTCTTTCATATGCATCATCATACAGACCTAAAAGGACAGAAACAGGCATCCGTTCACAGCATATCCTAAGCAAAAGCAGCACTGTTTCCATTAGACCTCGCTTACCTGTAAACTGTTTTAACTCAAATGCTTCATTTTCCACTACACGAATCCATTCCTGCTCACTCTACGCAGTAATCTGCAAACAATTCAGTACTCCAAAAAGGTGATTAAAAAACACTGAGCCCTTAATATTTCACCTGTCTGTGACTTCGGAAGAGAGCATAGAGGTCTTTTTATGACTTTAACCTAAAGGGAGTAAAATGTAACCTGTGTTTTAAACATTTGCAAAGAAAATTATTACCCTTTCTACCCAGCATGATAATTAAAAGAGAAGTGGGGATATATAATTAACCCATGAGTGGGGAAAAAAGCCCCTAAGTACTTTTGGAGGTGCTAGAAATATATACCCAAAGCAGATTCAGGTGCCTACCAAAGTTAAAATATGACTTAATCAACCTGGTTCTTCAAAATAACACAATGCTTAAGGGAGGAATTCAATTTCTATAGACCACTGCCCTACAAACGTGCATCATTCACTGAGAGGCCAAGCTTCCAGTCACCACTTCATGAATCAATAACTTTGGACAAGGGTTCCTTATAGCCTAGCTATGGTTTAAGTTCATCCAATGTTCCTACCACATAGGTTAAATAGTTTTGAAACCCAAAATTACGGGTTCTCAAAAAAACCAGATCAATCCTTACTAAATAGCCTAATGCTCAATCCAACCCTCAGTAAACAAAGACATTTTCATTGGTAATTTGCTTAAAGAATTAATGGGAGTTTTCGCGTTGTGAGATATAACATAAAAGGTCAACAGACTTGACTGGAGGAAGAGGGGGCATAATTAGCAATAGTTTAATGACATTACACCGTGGCACCCTATTCCTCCAGGACCTCTCAAAAAAAAAAGGCTCTCCACAAAAATAGACTTTAATGTTAAGATCAAGCCCTCAAGACGATGAGCTGTGGAAAAAGAGACCTGTTTCAGACAGTAAACTCTTCATGTGCCTTTCCTATACAGAGTTACCAGTGCTCCCAAGGAACGAGAAATGACCAACCTAACCCTGCCTCACGGTGGTTTGGAGAGAGAGCAAGAAAGGAAAGGCCTGAAATGGGAGAGGAGCAGAAGCCCTGCATCACAAAAGCGAGCAAAAAACAATACACCAAAGCAAGTGATGAGAAAAAAGTAGTCAGGAAAAACCGCACTAGAAAGATGAGCGCGCTCTCCGCTCCTCCCCGCTCCTCCCCGCTCCTCCCGACCGCCTCCGCCCCGGCCACGCCCACAAACCCACAGGCGCGCGCGCGCCGTCCCCACCACCACAGCCCACCACGCGGGCACGAGCCCGCCGCCGTCCTCGTCGTTGTAAACGCGGCCTCTCCGGCTGGTCCTGGGGGCGGGGCTGTAAGAGAAAGTACCAAAGCCCTTGAGGTAAGTGGCCGAGGGATCAGGGACCCTCGGGAGCTTGTTGGAAAGGGAGTTGATCCCTAGGAACCTACCTGAAAGTACTAGTGAAACGGTGAAGGTAGGAGAAGAAACCCGAGCCTGTCGCAGAGGGCGTGTACGAGGAAATTTCCTCAGGCCGCGCCAGACTGAGAGCGCATGCGGCCCGAGGGTTGGCGCCTGCGCAGTGGGACAGCATCGCTTGGCGTCGCCCCTTTGGGACCGAGGGGGAAGGACGTGAGGGATCAGTGCTTGGAGCTAGGCTGGGAACCTGGGTTCATCTGTTTGAATGGTAACCCAGCTCTTTAAGTGGAATACAGCTGGACGATTTGTTGATGATAGATTTTAATAATTGCTTATGATGACTTGCCATTGTAACAGGGTACCTACTTGGGCGTCTTTGATAAGGACACTTCTTCAAAAAGGATGCTTTTTCAAGAAATTAGGCATAGTATGCTCCACATCGCTAATTATCAGGGAAATGCAAGTTAAAACCACAATGAGATATCACCTCACACCAGTTAGGATGGCCAACATAGAAATGACTAAGAACAACAAATGCTGGTGAGGATGCGGAGAAAGGGGAACCCTCCTACACTGCTGGTGGGAATGTAAACTAGTTTAACCATTGTGGAAAGCAATATGAAGGTTCCGCAAAAAACTAAAAATAGAAATACCATTTGACCCGGGAATTCCACTCCTGGGAATTTACCCAAAGAAAACAACTTCTCAGATTCAAAAAGACATA